TTCTCTCATTAAACATGTCGTCGGATATCACAAACCAAATTTCTGCAGGCATGGATTTTCTTAGTTCTGCAGATCTAATTCTAAAGGTTAGCTGGAGTTGTCGAGTCGGGGAAATAGTATTTATATCCTACCCTTTATAGAAAACGTTAACAACTGTCCCCTCCGGTCGTCCTCGTCGTAGACGTTCAAGTAAAGTTAAAGACGAGCCGAACAAAGAGGTAAACATATACTTCCACGCTCCGTCTCATTAGCAGTGTCGCTCGGAGCGACTTGATTCTCCGCGGCCGCCGTGCTTCGCGAACGTATACCTGATCATTTTTACAAGTATGAACGTGGAAAAGACTCAGAAGCGAGTTTCAATAGCTGCTCATGCTTTTGAAAGTAATCAGAGGGCATGTTCACGCTGTGCAAGCTTAAAAGCAGCGTCCCCTCAAAAAATGAGTCTCTTGTTTTTCAGCTTTTTCGGAGCCTTCTCGCGATGCTGAAGCCATATCTGGGCTTCTCAGCGCAAGGAAACGGCAAAAATGAGTTTTTTTAGGCTCTTCGTGTCAGCGGCCGCCCCAATTGCATGTTAAAAGTGGGCGGGGTCTGGAAGTGGGCGGTGTCCGGAAGACTTCAGGAGTGGATTTGTACTTTCTAGAAGCGCTTTTTAGAAACTTCATTGGTAGATTAGTTGGGGAGTCCGCCATCACAAGGTTATAAAATTCTAGTAGCCACCAGTTTGAGGGGACGCTGCCTTTAAGCGGAGCGGCAGCGCTGAATTCGAGCCGCTAGACTCGGCGACACTGCCAATGACACAGAGAGTACCATATGGTAATGCGCTTATTTGTTTATATTTTCAATATAGGAAGTCGATGAGGATGACCAATATATTAGTAACATACTACAAGAATTACGCGTTGAGCTCGATGTGAAGCGACGAGAAGAGGAAAGGTTGCAGCGAGAAATCGCTGATGTGCTAACGGAGTGCGCTTCAGGTATGACACTCGCTATTTACATAGTGGCAATTTTTCCATATAGTTTGCTGATGGAATGACGTTCAGGGAGTTCTGGAGGTGAGCAAAGCCGGGCTTTCGGAATGGCTGTGTCACGCTTGAACAATGCTATGCTGGTTGTGGAGGCCGATGCAAAGCAACTTGCAGCAAGCTTAAGGACTATCTCACGGCTAGCCGATAACATCAGTGGAAAGGTCAGCCAATTTTGTTGCAGCTACTTATGAAGGGTACGAATATGAATACCTCAGCACATTCATGAAAACTTTCAAAATTCGAAATGTTATGTCGGATTCTTATCACTTTCCGTTTACGATACCTATTTTTGTGCTTTTGAATATGAGGTTTGGCTACTATCATACTACATTCCATCTTCAGGTTTCCGCACTTGATGTAGCGAAAACTCGCGTCGTAGAGTGCCTTCAACTTGCTGGTGATATGCATGATTTGGGTATGCGAGACAAACCTTATGTCAATCTGGCAGGTGCTTCATTCTGATCGTTTTAGGCGTCTGCAGCGAAGAAGTGGATCAGTGCATTAATAACGAGGACTACGAACAGGCAGCGCAGCACATTCATCGGTTTCTTACTTTGGATAGGGCTGTTTTTCAATTTAGCAGTGCAGCTGACAAAGGTGAGACTTATCTCGTTATGTTTTTGTTGCATTTCTATGCATTAAAAATTGTTATATAAGCATCGTAATCATTATAGAGGCTGGCCAATCAGTATCTCATAGTTATGAAATTCTAACTAATGCTACAACTCGATTGAAAGAGATTCTGGAACGCAAGCTGGAGTCAGCAGTGGATACTGAAGATGTTGCTGCAATGCAACGGTATTTAGAATGTTTTGGTTTTCTGTAGCTCATGAATGAGTGTTTGTTTAGTTTTGTCAAGTTGTTTCCACTGATAAACGAACACGACAGTGGCCT